GCTGAAGGCAGGCCAGTGACTTGCTGCTCGGCCCCTCGTCCCTGCAGCGCTGCCGGTCGGGTTTACCCCCAGGCCCTTCCAGCGCCTACCTTTTCCCCGTGAACAGTCACAGTCACCAGCTCCCAGGTGCCTAAACAGCAGGTTTTTGACCTGCTCATGGAGGGGAATATCTTGCAGAAACTCTGAAGAAGAAACTGGGCAGTGGCAGCAAAAAGTGCAGGTCCAAGGACATCTCGCCCAGGGCTGGAGAAGATGCCACGGGGTTGGTGCCTGTCCTGCAGTGAGACTCCTAGCTGTGGGGGCCAGGAGGAGCTTGCCAGCAGATCAAACAGCTTCCAATGACTTTGCCACTTTAAATGGGATTTTTATTTTTATTTTATTTTAATTTTCCTGGAGTCACCTTCTAAAAAATGGGGTAGGGAGGAAAAAGGGAGGTGCAGGCAGGAGCAGAAGAGGGTGCTGGAAGGAGCAGTAGAGAAAAACTTCACCCTGTAATGCCAAGCCAAACATCCCCCCTGCCCCACCAAATCTTTTTTTTTCCAAGAAGAAAAGTTGCATTTTCCAGCCAGCTCTATTCATGAGTGATTGTGCAGAGCTCTGCTAATGGGCTATGCCAAGCTGTGGTCACCCTACAGAGCTATTGGCAGGAGAGATGGCAAGTTGGAGAGGACTACAAGGGAACTCTGCATGATATTTTTTGATGAGCTGATTATTCAGAAATTTCACAAGAACTGAAATACATCACTCCGTTCTGAAACTCACAGCCCTGCCAACACACAGGGCAGCTTACATGAGCAGCAGCATTTTCTCCTTCACAGTGCTGCTGGCCTGGACATTAGGAACCAGATGCAGGAATTGGACAGGGCTTTTCAGCAGCCATCGACCACAGTGACAGCGAGAGATGGGGAGTGGATAGGAGGACACAGAAAGCTGAGATAGAAATGATTTAGGTACTTTCATGGCTGTCACTATGTGTGTATTTGAGCTTGAAAGTTTTTCATTAGCTCCATGGGTACTGGGGCATTATGATTTTTATTGCTTTACAGCTAGAGTGTGAGGTCACTCCCAGATCCCACATGTATTCAGGTATTTTTATTTCAGGGCTTGCTCAGTCCACAGTCACATTTCTGGGTGCTGTCACAAGCCAGGAGCTGACCTTGACTCCCCCCATCGCAGCCAGGAGTCTCCATCTTAGATGTCGTCCTGAGTCTGCAGCCAAGTCAGGCTCCCACAGAGACCAAAGGGTCATTTTCCCCTCTCTGCAACATTAATTAAAAACAAAACACCGTGCTATTTGAGCACAGGATCAAATGAGAGTCTGATACCTGGGGGGTGGGGTGCATGTGTGTTGGGGGAGGTTAGAGGCAGCATGGAGCCAATTTCTGAAATACCACACTAAGACTTCAAAAAGCCAACGTGGCACATCCCCAGCCCATCGATCTGTCAACACACAAGCTCCTTTGAGCTACCTGGGGTGGCACCGGCTGTCCCGTGGAGGACCAGGGGCTGGTGCATCTGCATCTGGAGCAATTATGCTGAATTGCTGAAAGGCAATTAAAAAATATCCTCATGCTGTACTCACAGCCTTCATTGAAAGCACAAAGCACTTCAACCTGCCTTAGTTGAACCAGATTTGCTGCAGGACAGTTCATAGAATCACAGAATCATTAAGGTTGGAAAAGACCTTTAAGATCATCGAGTCCAACCGTCAACCCAACACCACCATGCCCACTAAACCATGTCCCTAAGCGCCTCATCTACCCGTCTTTTAAATACCTCCAGGGATGGTGACTCAAGCACTTCCCTGGGCAGCCTGTTCCAATGTTTAACCACTCTTTCAGTAAAGAAATTTTTCCTCATGACCAATCTAAACCTCCCCTGGCGCAACTTGAGGCCGTTTCCTCTCGTCCTATCGCTTGTTACTTGGGAGAAGAGACCAACACCCACCTCGCTACAACCTCCTTTCAGGGAGTTGTAGAGAGCGATGAGGTCTCCCCTCAGCCTCCTTTTCTCCAGGCTAAACAACGCCAGTTCCCTCAGCCGCTCCTCATAAGACTTGTTCTCCAGACCCCTCACCAGCCTCGTTGCCCTTCTCTGGACACGCTCCAGCACCTTGATGTCCTTCTTGTAGTGAGGGGCCCAAAACTGAACACAGTATTCGAGTTGCGGCCTCACCAGTGCCGAGTACAGGGGCACAAGTTAGCCATCTAAGCTGCCCTTGTGCACAAAGAAACATAATTGTGGTCCAGATGAGCACACTGGAAAACCAAGCAGGGATGTGCAGAAGCCGTGTGCCTGGGACCTTGCACAGCACAACATGGGCTTATGCTGCTGCCGCGCCAAAGCCTTCAGAGCCCATTCCTAATGTTATTGCCCAGCCCCCAAAATGTACATATGTAAGCAGGTGGCTGCCAGGTGGCCTTCAACTGGGACTGCACACCTGGGCTGCCTGGCATGGCTGGACAGGGTGCATGGGCTGAGGGCATCCCCATCAGACGTGTGCTCCCAATAACCCAGCCGTTCTCCTGCCCGCAGGACTACCCATGCCCGAGACAGCTCTTCTGCAATTTCTGTTTCAAGGCAGGGGGAAGAGGGCACGTGGAGCCACATCCTACTCCCAGCCTGGTCTCCGAAAGTCAATGAAGAGCACAGTGGCTGAACCACAGATGTTTTGCTAATAAAAATAGAGGCACACAGGCACAGCCGCTGCAGCCCCTTGCAGGAACTGCTCACTACAGCGAAACAAACTTTTAGTAATCAAAAAAGCCTGGGAAACTTGCTTGCGTATAAGGACAGGGAATGAGGGTCCAAGCCGTGTAACAGTGAGCACAGTTAGCTCTGTCTTATTATGAAGCTGCCCCATTGGGACCACTCCACTTGCACTATGTCCATCTAAGCCCCTGCATGGGCGATTTTTCCCATGTTTTCTGCTTTCGGTGGAGGAGCTCAGCACTCTGCAGCATCCCCCTGCCCAAAGGCAAGCCCTGGGCATGACCCCAGCGAGGGCAAGCGATTGAGGTTGGAAAGGACAAAGTTGGTTACAAAGAACATCAATGCCTTCAGCACAGCGGATCCTCACATTTCCAGCAACTGCGTCTTTGTACTCAGTGCCCTGCCTGCAGAAAATTAAGTCTATAGGAAGTGTATGAATGATCCAGACACCATCCTCAAGGCTCAGGTCTTAAAAAAGGGGGGGATTTACGCCGCATGCTGCTGCAGGATGTCATGTACTTCATGATCTGCCTTTTCTAATCTCTCCTTATCTCTCACTCCAATCCTTTCTCATGTCCCTCATTTATTGCAAATTCCCTTTTTAAGCTGGAGCAAAGCACTTCCATATTTTCATGCTGCATAAATAGGTTGTTTTGTGCATAATGCCACAGGAGGCTTTTTTTAAAAACAGGACCTTTAGTGCTGTGATAACGGCCTCCTCATTTACACAAATGAAATCTTCCATACAGCTCAGCACTCATCTGCTCGGCAGCCCCCATGCAAAATGGTTGGCGCACCGCCCGCTCATCACAGGCTACAGAATTAATACAGAGTATTCCAAACTTAGTAGGAAGCCACTGAGCATCAGGTTTGGAAATACCTTGCTCAGGTTTTCCTTTTAGCACTTCCCCAGCAGCACAACTGTTGTCTTCCTTCTATATGAAATCACAGCTACTTTAAATAATAAAGTGCAAAAGGACAACCCTTTGTGTTGGCCCATTTGCCAGCATCTTTGACCATCCTGACTACTCAACTTTTTCTTCTCTGTCACTTCTTGCCCCCGACCTTCACTTCCTGTTTATTCAGCCCTTGTTCAGGGTCTAAAAAGTGCAGACACCATCAAAACGTACTTTTCATTTACTCTGCATGGAAAAAGAAATAGTGTTAAAATATCTACAGTTTTTAAAAGGGCTAATGGAAGATATTGGTGGTCACATTGGGTCATGGTAAATCTTTGAATCAAACTGGCTTTTCAGGAGCAATATTTTAACAGCATCACAGTAAAACCTGGAATCAAATATCAGTGATTTTGCTCTAGTGTTTCTATTTATATTTGACCACCACAAAGACTTCAAACCAATGAATTCCTCTGCAGTATATAGCAGAGAGACACTTAGGGAAAATTATACGAGTTCATCCATTGTGCATTTTCATACTTTTCAGGTCAGGTTGCAACCCTTTAGCACAGACTATTTTGGAGCATTTTTATTTGTTCATGACAGTGACCACACTGTGCTGCCAGGCATGCAAAGCACTGCCAGGCTCTGGTTTGGACCTGACCCTGACCTCTTCAAGCCTTCAGGTAGACTCTACACCCTACAGCCCCCCACAGCATGGCTCTTATTGAAAGACTTGGCACATTTTATTTTCCATCCTGAGTTCAGGGGACACAGAAAGCTTCAGTTGTTGCTTTCCTGCAATTCAAGAGCAAGATTACGGGTGCTCTTTTCATAAGTATCTTGCAGACTCATTTCTTCTCTCTTCCATCTGTTGTTTGACTTTTTTGTCTTTATTACATGTTAGCAATCAACAACTAACCCATGGCGGGTTTCTTCCTGTGCGGGGCTCTGAACACGGCATTTCTTGCCGAGGGAGCATTCCACACGGGTGGCTCTCACTTATGTTGTTCGTTGCTGTAAGCAGGACATTCGTGCCAGTCTAACCCTAATGTGATTACTATCCCATGAGCAGCTTTACATAGTCATTGATTTGCAGAAGTGTTTTGTATCACCTTAAGCTCCAGAAACATTGTGGCAATGCATTAAAAGGAACAGAGAAAGGAAAGATCTTAGGAAGTGTTATATTTCTTGTTATACTACCTTACCTGGCAAAACGGTAGCTCTCCAAGTCTATCTTGGCTAGTCTGTAAGAAAGCCTTTGTTTTTATGAATTGTTATACCGCTAAAAGATCTCATTTTTCTGTGATGTAATAGCCCACATACAATAACCGAATCTCAAAAAGCACAACATGGAGTAAACACTTTGTAAGGTACCTAAAACACAGTAGCTACCTGATTTTGCTAGCGCTTTATTTCAATTTAGGCCAAGGGACAATTTAAAAAGATTTGTTCCTAAGTGCACAATTCAGAAAAATATGAGTTACTACTCAGAGCATTATTTTGAATCAGTGCTGTTAGTTGTCTTAGCTGAAATTCAACCTCGATGTCATCCAAAGGTCCACTAAAATTTTTTGTGGAAGAATCCCATATTTGTAGAACATCATAAAATTGTTCAGCTGCAGCTCCAGGGCCACTGAGAACTGGAGAATGAAGTCTTTCTTTCTGAGGAGTTTCTTATGTCACGGAATGTTTTTCAAACGCTTTGTTACCTGAGAAATATCAAACATAACAGATAGTTACATATAACAGTATCTTTGATCTTTGTTAGTAAGACAAAATGTAAGGCTGTTTATTACTAACGAGTTAGGTGCTTATTAGTGTGTTCCAACAGGAAACACTGACAGCGATAGGCAAAAGAAAACGTTCAGTGTTAAATCCACACACAGCACATTTCAGCTCCTATTATAGCCTGTGCAATAGGGAAAGGAGAAAATCCTTGCACACAACTATTTTAAAATTATGTATCAGAGCAAGAAAGAGGAGCATTTGTTTGATATATTATCTACTTTTTCAATAAAGTTCACTTCCAAATAATACTAATGCCTGCCTTTCACATTGTGCTTTTCATTCCTAACTCACAAAGCACCCTCCAAAGGAGGTCAGGATCATTTTACAAAAAACAAACATGAATTGAAGCCACCTCTCTGATGTCCCTGAGTAAGACAGCACAGTCCCCAGCTCTGTTGACCGCTAGTCATAGGAACAAAGGATTAGAAAGGGCATCTTGTGTCATCAAATCCAGCTTCTTACTCTTCAGATCAATTTTGCTATAATAATCTCATGCAAGAGTCTTTAGGGCGCATGATCTCTTACATAAGCTCCTGCAAATGCTCTTTCAAAACCATCATCTCTTGTATATCCTTATCCATCCTGACCCTGCGGTGGAACTCTACCCAATGCCAAGGTATTACACACCAGTGATTTGGGACCATCACCCTGAAAATGCTCCCAGTCTCAGACACTGGAGAATGAATGGGGTATTTCTTCTCATGTCTGCTCCAATTTTATGCATCTATTGGTGGTCCATCCTAGTAAAAGACCTGTAATAGGTGCCATGACAGACCTGGAAGGTGTTTCTGAAGCAGAGAAATAGAAATGCTGAGAGCCTGACAACTGCAGCGACTGCAGCTGTGAACACTGTGTGCGAAATCCCTACACAAACTCATGGCACAATTGTTATTGCAGTGTTAACTGGAGGCTTGCACCGGCCCCAGATACTAACGCAAACATTTGGGTTTACCCCTGCACATACCTGTCCTTTCATGTAGAGACTGACATCCTGGCAAACAACAGAGCCTCAAGTACGCTCAGTCCAATATATTTCCAATGTCCATCACCCCCTTCCTTTTTCAAATAACTACTTACTGGAGGAGTTATTAATGCCTTTCCACCTACACAGCCTAGATACCGAAACTCACACAAAGGCAGCTTTTAAGCTTTGAGGTCACGTTCGAGTTGCTGGTTAGAGTGTCTCTCTGGGCAGTTCTATTATGCAGCAGCTACAGCAATAGGATAACACGATACAAACCTTTGCTTATAATTGAGTGTGAAGTGGGCTTTTTGCTTGGTATCTTCAGTTTTGTACCTTCACTTCAGAGCATGTTTAGAGCTGGCTTCAATACTCGGAAAATTATTTCAGCTTATTAAACAAAAAGCTGTTACCCAACTGTTAGACGAGGGCATGGCCCCCGAACTTGTTTCCCGGGGCTGTGCGCGAGGCTTGGATCCTTGCTGCTGTTGCGGCTGCAACTCCCCAGCCGCCTACTTCTTTGTTTGATTGTCTTTCCTCACTGAAACATATGTTTCCCCTTTTGATGGCATTTTGAGCAACAGTTTCCATTGTATGCCCCTCTTGACTGACAGTTTGATGGCAGCCTGTAAATTACTTGGCACGTGTTTTGTGAATCTGCTTGAAGGAGGGTCTGGCTGCTTAGTAAGTGCATCCTTTTGCAGCTTTGGGGGCAAGGGATTAGCACCATTTTAGCACAGGTTTGGGTATAAAAGTACTTGACCACAGTTGATATCATCCTTATTTGAAGCTCAGCGTTGTCCTGTACCTTGACACTTTTATCCCAGGTCCTGGGACACAACGTCCATCAGTTATGCTTGGCTTTCCCCATTTTCCTCTCATACAATGTGACACACGAAGCTTAATGATGAATCAAGAATGGATCAGACTGAAAATACTTGGTATTTGACAGACAGCCCAGGTAAGCATTCAGGCTGCTGGATGTGCAGGTTAAGAGAACATCTGGCCCTCTGTCAGCTTTCTTTGCTAACAGTAACGCATTCGCTGCTTTGCCTTTATGTGATACAATCTCGTCTGTGTCTCTGGCCACGAAGTTTCTACTGTAGCTATAATTACAGGATCCAAGCAGTGCTGTATGGAATTCATGTACTCTTTACAGCTGAATTAAATGGCCACCTATAGGGAAATGGAAGTCCAGAAAATGAGGTGTATAATGGTTAGCACAGTGTTACTTACAGCCTCAAAATAGAACCCTGGAATAGGTGTGAGGGGGACATTATGCTTATGCTGACCTCCTACAAGAGGGAGACGTTTCACTTATAGCCATAGCTAACTCTATTGCAGCTTTGTTTTCATAAGAATAATGATATGCTTCAACCAGAAAAACAATCAACCTCGATGCTGAGGCTGCTGTGCATTAGCACATCACATTTATTTGGGGAACCGTTTTGCCCTAAGCCTTCTAAGGGTGGGTATGACTACTGTACAGTTACTGCACTTCTTCTGGCTGTTTACATCTTCCCTTGAAGACATAATTTAACTCCTGTGCATAAACCTTCTCCCTGCTGCAGAGGTGGTGGCTCTAGATGTTTTACACTTCAAAAACACCAGCATGGGCCAGATTATGTCTGTCTGTTGGATTTCTGTTGATATTAACTTTCCTTGCATTCGCTTGAAATGACAAAAAGATTACTTTATATGTACTCACTGCAGAAAAAAGAGAATTTTGGGTGAAAAAGCATAGACCCTATGATCTGATCCATCTTCTCTTTGCTATTTCCAACTACTTAAAGCATAATGTCACACTGAAACGCACACTTGGAGTGCTGCATTCTCTTCTCCTGACAGATTGTTATGATATTTTCCAAGGTGACCTTCATAAAACATGTTTCTTTTGAAGCTTATATTTCACTTTCAGGTCATAACAGTCTCACACAGACAAGCAAACTGTCAGCTCCTGCTTTCTAATTAATGGTTCTTGGAGGCTTCTGAGTGGGGGATATAATTAATAGCACTTAAGTCTGGAGTGCAGTGAAATCTATAGCTGATTACTAGGATGTGTATTTACTTAGGGATTATATGCAAACAGCTCCTAAGTGCAGCCATGAACAGCTCTCAACAATGTTCTCTGGAAAGTCCCCAGGACCAGGCACCACCTTGAGTCTAACTAACTCCAGTGTAAGCGCTCCAAAAATTGCCCTGCTCATAAAGCAAGGCTCCCGCAACTGAGGGGTCCCTTCCTGCTGTACTCCTCTCCCCTGCTCCCATTCCTCATACCAGAGTCCACAGCATGTTGTTTCCTATGACTGCACGGTGATTCCGCTTGCCAACAGGCTGCCTACAGTGGAGGAGCATCTATTGCAGAAAATACCTCTGGCCACGTCTGTGTTGTCACTGTGGCAGCCACCCAGGAGACAACCTGCTCTGTGGCCCATACTGCCCAGCTACGGCATCTTCTGGGGCAGGCTGGCTGTATTCTCACTGCACGGCACGTGTCCCAGATCCACTCTGTGGATCTGCTCTGAGGCATAATCATTGTTTTGTGTTTTTATTCAGTTTAAAGTACCAGAAATAATGGGAGGGCTTTTCTTGCAGTAAAGCAACCAAAGAAGGGTGTTGCGAGCCATCTTGTCATACTTGCCTAAATTTAAGGAAAGCGATGGGATTGCTCTGGTGCTCACTCTTATGCAAGCAGCATGGATTGTCAGAGGTGCCGGAGCAAAACCAGATGCAAGCCAAATTGCCATCTTAAATTCCCTCTGGTCAGCTGCTGCTAACAGTGGTAATTTCCCTGCTGAAGTCAATAGAACAGCATCTTTTCACACATGCTGAGATCTTGGTGCAGAAGAGGCAGCTGTGAGGCAGGATGAGTGCTCTCAAAGGATGAGATCGTCTCTCTTTCACAGTGGGATGAAAAAAATGAATAAAATTCATATTCTCTGACAAAGTTGAAAAGACTGTATTCTCCAGAAACACTGCTAGACTGGGGATGAAGGGGAGAATTGACATTGGAAATCCTGCACCACTGTGCAGCCTGCATTATTTGGAGATATTTTTAAATGAATTTTGCATGTTGAATGACATATTCAGATGGTTAAGCAATTAAAAGCAATTGAATGTTTGTAACTCAAAAAGCACTAGGCAACAGAATATCACTGTCAACCCCTTTATGCAAAGGGACGTTTTGACATCATACTTAAGACTGACTACTTTTCTAATGGCATAAAAGTATTACTTCAGTTATGCATAAAATAGGAAAACTTCTACTGAAACTTGTGCAGCCTGGTTATTTCTTCAGAAACAACAACACAGAGTGAAACTGCCTTTGAAGACAAACATTTTTCATATACTATCTGAAGGTTAGTAACTCTCTTAATCTTTAGCCTTTTTGCTGGCACGTGTAATTTAAAATGCACAAAACAGACTATCAAAACATCCAGCTATAGATAGCTAGAAAATTTAAAAGGTGCATCTGAAAATAGGAAATTGGAAATTAAGATGCTTCATCAAATCTTGCTCTTTGAGTAAAGATCCACCGTGGATCCACCTCAAAGAGCGACCAGTTATCAAACACAGCTGACCATATGACAGCCAACACTGAACAAAGAATGGCTCCTAAAGAGGTCAAATCTTGGTGCTACTAAGCAAGAGAGTGACTAACTGGGGCAACTATATACTAAATATCCTTTCCACAGCATTTTTTTTTTTTTCCTTTTCTTGTCCTCCTCCAGAGCCACATGAAGTTCTGCTGAACTTCGGCTCTGCAGACACAGCACCGTGAGCAGCCCTGCAGAGCCTGCACATGCTGGGGGTGTTCAAGAAGTGACAAGTCCTTTGCCATGGTTTAACCCCAGCTGGCAACTGAGCACCACACAGCTGCTCTCTCACTCCTCCCTGCCCCCCGTGGTGGGATGGAGGAGAGAGTCGGAAGAGTAAAAGGGAGAAAACTCATGGATTGAG